AAGATTTGAATTAAAAAGCCAAATCCATCTGGGCAATATTAGCAGTACTCATAAGATCGTACAATTAGATACTTAGCTCATATTTTAGAGACTGTAGCACCAATTTAAGTCAGTGACCAGGACTCAGAACTGCAAAAACAGACCATATGACAAAGCAGGAAAAATAGAGTTTATCCACTTGTGTCAAGGACACAATAGCAAAGTTCTCTTTTTGGAAAAAATATTCTTTGTTAGCCAGGATATGCATGTGTGTGTTTGAGTATTTCACAATATATACTTAAGAGCAACTTTGTTCTGAGAATTCTCCTGGTTGTTAATGTTTAGTGATGAACATATCAGAGTGGATTGCTGCTCTATGGAGCCTATAATTACAAAAAAATTAAATAAAATGCCCATGTATTTAAACAAAGTATTTTTTTAAGATAGAACTTGAAGGTAAATTGGATTAAAATTATAGAATGTCAATGGAGTCTATTTGAGAAATCAGTACAAGGAATTAAATGTTATCCTAACACAACCAAATAAAGTAGCATTAAAAAAAAGCTTGTCATCATCATATATGCACCTATCATTTGTGTGGACAATTGAAACACTGTAGAGTTTGAGCAATTCTATGAGCTCAAACTGACCCTCAAGATACTCTCACCCAACCCCACCACACATTGCTGTATACAGGCACCTAAAACACTCTTATACCAAAATAGCTCACCTGTTTTTTTATTTTTTTTTTATTTTAGAAAAGTACTTTATTCTAAGGGAACTGGTGAAAAGTAATGGTTCAATGAGAAAATATTGACTTAAAGCACATAGCAGAGCAATTCTCTAATTTTATTGGTAACAAGATGGAGAGCCATCTGTTTTCTGAAGATAGAAGATTCAGCCAATTTATCCATTTTTAAATACTGCTATATATACACACCCAAAGTACTACATACACATATATGAGGTGTTTTGTTGTTGTTTTTTAAATGCAACTTACAAATGTTTTCATCCTGGCATATAAGCCTTATCCACAATTCATCACAGGTTTGCAGGAGTGTTTTTCACTTACTAGTAAGTGTCACTTAATGTGGAGATCTTAAGCTTCCCTTCATAGAAGCAATAAAAACACTCCTGAGCTCTTTTGGTCTCCGCAGGTTTAAAAGACAAAATAGACATGCCTCTGTCATCAACAGGAAAGAAAATGACCCCAGTGATGGTAAACCAGCTTTATTTAAATTTTTTAAGAACTATGGTTTCCAATAGTTGTTAAATCATTTTCTGCTTAAGAAGAATGTAAACTTGGAATAATGGAGGCTGAGTAAGGCCTTAGAGAAGCTCATTATATACAATGACACACAACTCAAATGTGAGGGAAATAGGGAAGTCTAGAGTTCCCATAATACTTATAGAAAAAAAATTTTTTTATATATATTTTATTGATTTTTTACAGAGAGGAAGGGAAAGAGATAGAGAGTTAGAAACATCGATCAGCTGCCTCCTGCACATCTCCTACTGGGGATGTGCCCACAACCAAGGTACATGCCCTTGACCGGAATCGAACCTGGGACCTTTCAGTCTGTAGGCCGACGCTCTATCCACTGAGCCAAACTGGTTTCGGCTATAGAAAAAAATTTGATGACAATATGTTGAGAATAATAAAACTGTACTCAAAGTGAGAATATTTGGCACTATAATAAGTTAGAGAAATATTGGGAAAGGATGAGTTTAACAGTTAAAAAATTTGAGTTTATACTATTAAAAATGCACATAAATATTTGAAAATTTTGGTGCAAAAAGATACAAAATATGTTCAAATTTGAATTTCTTAATTTTTAAAATTACTTAGCTTTTAGAAAATGGCTAGAATAAAAAATATCTACTAGAGAAACTTTCTCAAGAATCAAATAATTACCTCAAATGGGACTAAAGCTGGATTTTAAAATGGGGAGAAATATAATGGAGACTAGATCATCAGAGGGAGCTTAATATATTTGGTCAATAAAAACATTAAAAACAGTTAAGAACTTTGTTAGGCAGATATATGTAAATTGGGAGAATTATTTAGTTCTATTTGAGATATAAGTTCTCAGATATAAAGTTATTCATTAAAGATTATAGGTAAATTAAAATTCTTTCCTCTTAATTTTAATATGTTATCTTAAATGAATTAGTTTATTGTATTATAAAAAGTAAACTACATTTGCCTAAGAAATGAGAATGTTTAAAAATATATTCATATGCTTATAAAAATTAAGCAATATTATGCAAATAAAACAATGGCATAAAGTTTAGTTTGTAGAGCTGTGATGGTGGGAACTAAGATTAAATTACATTAATTTGATCAAGTGGTAGCAAAATATTTTATGATTCTTAAGATAGAAATAAAATAACAAGTTCAAATTTTCTCTATTCCTATAAAGAGGGACACCATATTGTAGCTAATCTGTCTGATGCCATTAAAATATTTTACAATGATTGAGTCTGGGGTTTGGAAGACTAAAAAGAAAGATACCAATGTGGACATCTCAATTTTATAATTCTTAGTTTATTTTATAATAATTAACCTCTGGAGTATTTAATTAATGTTCACTGACGCTGCTTGGGACTCTGAAAAGGAGAATAATAGAGTCTAAAAATTATTTCAAAGAAAATCCATTATGATGGAATATGTAAGGCTGAAAGGAATTTCTACACTAAAGAAGGGAAGAAATAAAACTGTGTGAGGGTCACTGTGAGAATGTATAGAACAGTATCAAGCTTTATGTATGATACTATTCTATAAAGGAAATCTGTCCAAAATGATTAAAGGTAAGAAATTTAGCTGGTGTAGTCATCTATAGATTGTCTGTTATAATCACTTAGTGCTTATAACCATTTGGTGGTAGACTAATGTATATATCATAAAAAGCAGAGGCCCTCAGGAATCTGAGAACCTTTCAGATTTAATAAGGAAATCTGGCTATGTCTCCTCTTGTTTCTAACTCCCTTCCTCCACACCACAAGGATAAGTAAGGCTGTAAACCTTTCTGACTATTGCCATCAAAAGTATTTTGTGGAAATGATCTTGCAAAAGAGGAAGCATAAACATATTTTCCAGGTTTTCAGGATTGTACAGTGTATATAGTAGCAATTAAAATGAGAAAGTTGCCAGGGCTAGAAATACAATTTGGAGAGTCTATATAGAAAAAAAAGCCAGCAGAGATTCCTTTATCTTTACTACTAGAGACCTGGTACATAAAATTCGGTCCCCTCAGCCCAGCCTGCACCCTCTCCAATCCAGGATCCCTCGGAAATCCTTCTCACAATCCTGGACTGCTGGCTCCTAACTGCTCATCTGCCTGCCTGCCTGATTGCCCCTAACTGCCCCCCCTGCCTGCCTGATTGCCCCCAACTCCCCCCCCCCCCGGCCTGGTTGCCCCTCACTGGCCCCCCAGCTGGCCTGATCACCTCATGCAGTCTGCTGTTCAGTCATTTGGTCATCCCTCACTGCCCCCCACCCCCCTCACCGGCCTGGTTGCCCCACGCAGCAGGCTGTTCAGTAGTCCGTCCAGTTGTTTCAGTCATGATGGTCCCTGGCTTTTTATATATAAGGATGATTTGGAGTGGTTATGTACAATTGCAGGATATAAATTGGCCAGATATTCAACCAAATTCCAGGGGTCTGAAACAGAACTACAGTCACTTTAGGGTCAGAATTGCACCAGAAATACATGGTGATTATACAAGCAAATATGTGCATGTTCTCTGTGTTTGCACAAACACAGACACTCACATTAATGTTAATTATATACTATAGTTAAAATAATTCTATATAATGCCCAAATATGTGAAGTCAGTTTTTTTTTCCACTGATGCTTTTAATGTTTAAATAAAACCACAGAGGTGCTGCTAAATGGCTATATATTACATACATGATGAAAAGACCATTTGTTTAGATGGTGCCTGAACAGTCTCTCCCTGTTGAGAGAGATCCTCTACACACACGCACACACACGCACACACATGCACACACATGCACGCACACACATACATACACTCCTCTCCCCCACAAAATCATTTGTATATTAGATTACTTTTCCTTAGAAATTCGCTATCAAATCATTCTGAGATATAGAAAGTGAGCATGAGCATAATTCTCTACTTAATGGTTTTGGAAGCTAATAAATCTTGAAGTATTTCATATCCTATTTTAGCTAAAATCAACTTTGAAAATTAATGCAAATTATACTTGTTAAATTTAGAGATGGAGTATAATTCTAGGTAATTTAAGAACCACCATACATACTTTCAATTTTAAAAAGTTGCCTGCTAGACACTTTTATAGATATGCAGTGATTCATGTGCCTATGTCTGCATTTTATTTTAGCTAAAGTGCACAGTAAAGGCTACAAGACAAAGAAGAGCTACATGATCTCTAGAGAAAGTTATGAAATTCAAAACAAAATAAATCTGTCCTATAATAATATATTTTTTACTTTAATAATTATGTAAAATGTTCTCAATTACATGGTAATGAAGTCTTTATTCAGCAAGTTTAGTTAAAGCATACACTATTGTTTGCAAAATATTTATGATGTTGGAGACAATACTATACTTATTTGAAAAAAGTAATCAAATAGAATATTTAAAACAAAATTATGAATACATTTATAAGTATATAAAATAATTAAACATGAATTGTTTATTGCTATGCTTATATCTGGTTACTAAAAAACATTATAAAGAAATAAATAAGTCACATGATAGAATTTTATTTTTATTTGAGATTTGGTACTTAATTCCTGAAGTGTGAAAAACCAATCTCGTTTTCACTTACACTTATTCTACAATATACCATCTCTAAATGAAACATTTTTACTTGCAGTTGATTACAATTTAATTACACCATTAATTTTATCCTTTAAAATCTCATTATGTTAATTTTGGCTTTAAATTAAATAACATTAGCAGAAAAATTGCCATTAATGTGACTATCAATTACTTTGGTATGAAAGTTATTACAAAGGAAACATGCCTACCATGGTTGTCTCAGCAATAGAGCCAAAGCTGTTTATGAATATGTTGCATGTGACATTAACTGGAGGACCTGAAAACAGAGATTACAACATAAGGACTATTTAGGTACTTATCCAAAATATTTTCAAATAATTTCATGCTTCTCATTAATAGTTTTTTTTTTTAAAGAATATTTTTAATATATGTATACACACAGATGCTTCAGATTGAAGGCAATCATTCTGTGAAATAATCTGGATCACAAATCACAGTTCCTGGTCTCCCTTGAACACTGATGCTGGTCCGTTGTTAACCTCTTTTGTCTGTCTCCATGATGCAGACATCTCTAAAGGCTCTGCATATTTAGTAAGTCCAACATCTGAGCCTCTAAAGCAGAGTTTCTACTGATGTTTTCCCACATGTATGGACCGTATTTTCCTGTTTCTTTGCATGTCACATAGTTTTTATTCAAATTCTTTATTGTTTAAAGTATTAGATAAGTCTCCTTTTCCCCCCCAGTGACCTCTTCCGGACCACCCTCACCCCCCAGCACATGCCCTCCCCACCTCCCCTGTCTCTGTCCACTGGTTATGCTCATATGCATGCTAAATATCACATGATCTCACTCATTTGTGGATTATAATGAACAACATAAATTTGATGAACAAAAATAGAGCCAGAGTCATAGAAGCATCGAACAGACTGTCCAGCCTATGAGGGAAGGCGGGGGTTGAGGGGTTAAGAGATCAACCAAAGGACTTGTTACATACTTTTTTAAAAAAATGTGGGTACTTTAGAAAATATTTGTCGGTTCTGGAAACCAGACCTCCCGCTTCCACCCGACTGTGTTTTGTCATTGCTGGTGTTTCTTTTACTTAAAAAATAAAAATAAAAAATATATATATATTTCTTTATTGATTTCAGAGAGGAAGGGAGAATGAAAGAGAGATAGAAACATCAATGATGAGAGAATCATTGATCCACTGCCTCCTGACCACCCCCCACTGGGGATTGAGCCCGCAACCCAGGCATGTGCCCTCGGCCGGAATCGAACCTGGGACCCTTCAGTCTGCAGGCCGACGCTCTATCCACCGAACCAAGCCAGCCAGGGCTCTTTTACTTTTTTATAAAATATTTTTAAAATTGAGTTTTAGAGAGAGAAATATCAATGTGAGAGCAAGACATCAAAACATTAATCTGTTGCCTACTGAACGCCCCCTACCGAGGGCTGTGCCCTAACCAGAATTGAACCTGCAACCTTTCCATGAATGGAGGACACCCAAATAACTGAGCCACACCAGCCAGGGCTGGTGTTTCTTATTGCTGTTTCTTGTTTAATGACTTACCTGGACTAATACTGTAAAGTCTGTATTCCCCTAGAATGTGCAGCCAATGAGTTTACTGCTCCGTGAGTTTACTGGTCAACAAATGAGTCATCCGAGATTTCCTCAATGAATAACTCTCCCACCCTTTGCCAAGGGACTTTGTGTTTGTTTGGAGGCATGTCTCTGATGTTCATGCTTTACCTGCTTTACCAGAGGCATGTCTCTGATGTTCATGTTTAAGGTAACTTCACTTCCTGCTTGCACAGGGTCTCAGGTCAGCCAGAGGTGAGAGACTGGGGTCCTCCTAGAACTTTTCTGGAAACACATCCAGCCCTACACATGTGAGTAGCCTCTAGAGCCACAAGAACATATCAGAACTTTTCAAAGCTGCCTATGGGCATTTCATTTCCCAAATCTCCTAAAATTTTTGTTCAAGCTCTTGTTTGCCCAACTTGTGATTTCCTGTGATCGTTTGCCACAAATGCCCTGATGATAGAATTTTCCCACTGAGGGAGTTCCCCGGTAAAATAAAATAACGACAAGCCCTCTGAATGGCACTCTTGAGTAAGAGCCAGAAGGTCCAACAACAACATAGTTCTGGGTATCGCCTTCCTGTGGAGCTCCAGATCTGGTCTGCCCTCTAAGAGCTGCCAGGCTGCTGGGTTTTACAGCTTCTGTGGTGGAGATGTGGCTGGTTTTCAAGGCTACTGGGAACCTGGGGAGCGGGGCCATATTTAAATTCCCTTTGTCCTTAGGAGAAACTCATCAGTTTTTCTTTCATTAGCATCTTCACAGTGTTTCAGGCTTTTGGTTAACTCTGAGAGTTCTAAAGGTTAATTATGACAGTTTTGCCACTGTTTTGGTTGCTTTTTTGTTGTTATTGTTTATTCTCACCTGAGGATAGTTTTCCATTGATTTTTAGAGAGAGTGGAAGGGAGGGGGAGAGACAAAAAGAGAGAAACATCAATAAGAAACTATTGGTTGCCTCCTGCACATGCCCTGACTGGGATCAGGAGTAGATTGAATCTGCAACCAAGGTACCTGCCCTTGACCAGAACTGAACCTGGGACCCTTTAGTCTGAGGGCTGATGCTCTATCCACTGAGCCATATGGACTAGGGCTTGTTGCTTTTTTTGGAGAAGTGAATTTACAAAGATACTCACTCCACCATTCTAGAAGGCCCCTGTAAGTGCCTGATTTAATATTCATCATAAAGCCAAGAATTTTATTTTGTCAGACCCATTTATTCATCCTTTTACTAAATACATAAAACCTGTGCACACCAAATTGAAGAGGACACAGAGAAATTATCTTCTAGCAGGGTAGAAATGAATATAAATCATTAAATTATTGACTACCACTTGCTTCCATATACTGTGCTATCTGATTCATAGATATCACTTTACCCATTTGGCACTGAGAGTGAAAGCAGTGGTATTAAGTCCTATGTTAAGAGGATTCCTCTGATATATTTGTATTCTCCTTAAAATGTGAAACTGGTATCTCACATTGACCCAAGGCTTGAATAGTAAAGCCAATAAGTACAATAAGGAAAATAACATGTACCCACAGACGAGTAATGATCAAAGAAGTGACTAATCGAGGCTTTCACTATTATTTGGGAACTTAATGATTCACGTTATATGAAGGATTCCAACCCTTGCCCCTCCAACATGCCTTCAATCAGATGCAAAATGCTCTTTTTAAAAGCAGAAAGTCGGCTTTGTTTCCAAATCTAAATTTCATGTGGTAGTAAAGCAAATCACAGTGATATCAGGCCTGAGCTTTATTGTTTAATCCATCAGTTACCAGATGTGTTCATCACCTGGTTATTAGAGCATACATAAATGCTATTTGGTCCCCATTCTTGCACTGGGGTGGGGGGGGGGGCTCAGCCCAGCCTGCACCCTCTTGCAGTCCAGGACCCCTAAGGGGATGTCTGCCTGCTGGCTTAGGCCCACTCCCCGTGTGGAGGTGGGAGAGACTCTATCCACCGCTGCTGCACTCACCAGTCATGAGCCCACTGGCAAGCCCAGCTTCTGGCTGAGCGACGCTCCCCCTGTGGGAGTGCACTGACCACCAGGGGGCGACTCCTTCATTGAGCATCTGCCCCCTGGTGGTCAATGCACATCATAGTGACCAGTTGTTCTTCCATTTGGTCGATTTGCATATTAGGGTTTTATTCTATACAATAGTCTCTTCTTCAGCAGAAAGAAAGGTGAGTGGATTCAGGCACCAAACCTTAATTCCAAATTTTAAAAATAGAGCAGAGACTCACTTGAAAGATATATACATCTGTATTGATATATAGATATTTCACTTGTATAGAAATCATTTTATTTTAAAACATACTTCAGTATGAAACAATTTGGAAATAAAAACCATTGTTCTTAAAATAGCTTTGCCCCAGGTCATGGAACCTTTTCAGTGTGACACCAAGGTATTTGATGCTGACTTAATGCACATGAGGGAGCCATTACAGATTCTTGACCATGGGAGTGTGGTGAACCAAGACAACATGGCGAATGGTTGAATGGATAGCAAAAGCTTAGAAACAGAGACAATAGTTAGGGATTTATTGTAATAATACAGATTGGAAATGGAGTGGCTCTGATCAAGAACAGTGACAGTGGAAAGGTATTATAGGGAATGAAATGGATATAGTACTATCATGTTTATAAAGCACTGTATTCTACACTGGAAGCTCTGATCTATGTCAGTTCAGGGCAGGAATCTTGAAGTAGTCTTTCTACCCTAGCTATGGATATGTATAACTCAAAAATTATGTAGAGAATGAAGCTCTGAGAAGATTGTTAATCTTCTATTGCCACTACAGAGAGCACCTGTTTCAGCAGTCCTTGGCCAATCTGCTTCTTTTCCATGCCAGTGTGAAAGCTGTAATATTCATCTAACACACTGCTATGTTTAGCAACAGAGCAAATAACTGCTATACCATCCATATGGCAAATTGTGCTATTAAATTGTTCATTACATTAGCCATCTTTGGCCTGAAAAGCAAATGACACTAGTTGCAGATGTTTTTAGCAGTATGTTTTCTTCTAAATGTTTCTTAAAGAAGTAGAACATGGCTTTTAAGTTCAGAGGTGGATAAAGGCAAAATGGCAAAGGCCAATGCAAAGCCTAGACAATTATATTATTGCCATGCACATTGGAGAAATTGTTCACTGGGCAGACCAAGAGGAAACAAAGGGACAAATAAGAGCCCAAATGGTTATTAAAATGACTCTAAGTAATTCTTGGCATAATGCTGTATTGAAGCCTCAGCCTTTTTAAAGACAAAGAATGCAATTAAAAGATGAACTATCAAAAATTATGTGTAGTGAGTTTTTTTTATATTGAATACATATATATTTTATGTAGTGATGTCACAAAGAGATATTTTATTTTTTAATTAACAAACACATATTTGATTACTTTAAATCCAGATTATAAACTACTTGTTAGATACTTTAAAAAGGTTTTAAAATTATGTGAGAAAAATAGGATTCAGGTCATTTTGCCCTTCCCTTATCCCTTTTCTAGTCCTAAAGCCATTCAGTTGAGCAGAGTAAATAAGGCTCCCATGCTGGGGCTGGCTGCAGGAGTGTGATAACCTACACAGGATGAGAAGGACATCCTTGGAGAAGGATTACATAGCATGGGATGACGGAGCCAGAGTGAGTGAGAAGAATGTTGCCATAGTGATGCAGCCTGGTGTGGGTAATTAGAACCAGAGAAGGGTAAGGACAGTGTCCACATGGGGACA